AAGAGCATACGATAACCAGAGCATCCATGCCCAAACCATAATAACGTTCGTGTTCCAAGAGCATACGATAACCAGAGCATCCATGCCCAAACCATAATAACGTTCGTGTTCCAAGAGCATACGATAACCAGAGCAGATGTGCTCCAGGACAGCCACTGGTTTTTTGCTTGACAAAAAAAAGACATTTTTTGCACTGCTTTCCTCACCTTCCGAAGCTTGAATTCACTGGCAGGGCCAGTGAATCCTGCGCGCGTGCATGTTTGCGCGCGCGTGAACAGGTCCCTGGGGCGTTATTGGGACCCCAACAAAAGCTACCCTAGTTTTGGGAAAACCCCCAAAACCTTCATTCCCGTTCTGATTATCCTTGGCAAGTGGCACTGCTGCCCGCCAGAGCTACTATCAATGTTTCGGGCTGCCTTTCATAAGATTCTAGTTCCGAAGCTGCAATAGATAATGTAAACGTTGCTTGTCGGATGCTGGGTTCTCCAGTTGAGCCATAGTCTAGACTCCTGGTATCCCGCTACATTACCCGTATAGTAGTCCCCTATGGAATCCCTCATATACCCCCCCCTTTAGGGAGTTTAGACCCTAAAACCCTATAATCCCGTATATAACCCCCTGCCCCCTCCAAGGAGTTTAGTTCACAGCTCAGTTGAGGCAGAATAGGGCAGGCTAGATACATCCCAGCCTGCCGTTGCAGCACCCGCTCCAACTGTACCAGGAGCGCTTGACGCTGCGCCGTCTATTGGCTGCCGACCTCTTGGGGTTAAGGTTTAGGGTTTTGGGGCTTTAGGATTTGGGCATGAACGTTGAGAGACAGAGCTACTGCCTGGACCCCTCCAGGAAGGCCTTGTCAGAAGATGGACCAAACCCTGGCACTTGGGATGCCAACGAGCAGATTTGGGATGCCCTGCCTTGCATCTTCAAAGTCGCTGATGACCGCCGCAATGTGTATGAAATTGTGCTCCGGCTCCAGCCGGTCCTTGCTTGCAGGTGCAAATCCAAGATGACAACTTGCCAGCTTGGTAATGAAAGAGCAGAGGTTGAAACTGAATTGGGGGTTTCCCAAAATTAGGGGTACCTTTTTGGGGGTCCCCATAATAAGGACTCTAGTATTTTGGGGTCTGTATTGGAGTCCCCCAATTTAGGGAAACTACCGATTACGGCTGAGGATCTTAAACCCTATTATAGTAGTTTCCATGTTATTCTCCATTATCCCAATGTAACCCTAAACCCTAAATTCCATTATAGTAGTTTGCATTTTATTTTCCACTATCCCAATATAACCACGGCTGAGGATCGAGGTAGAGAATCTCGCCTGCCAGCCTCTCGAGGTGAAACAGGAAGAGCGTCGCCGTCTGCTCGCTGAGCGGCACCTTGTTGGCCCCGATCCGCCTTTTCAAATGCTCCGGCGTGTAGAGGCCGCGGTGCCCTTCCATAGCTGCCACAACCTGCAGACTTTGGATCCTACACCTTGGATTCCTTCCATGAAGCTACTTGTGAGCTAGTTGTCGACAAAAAGCATGAAGAACATCTGCCTAATTATTTTCTTCTGAGCTACCAGGCTCTGCACAATACTGCGGGCAGGAGCGCACTTGCTCACCAGATCAGCAAAGTACGCAGCGGGCGCATCTTCAATTGTTAACGGGTGGCTGAAGATCATGGTCCCCGAGCGCCGCATGTCAGCCAGGCGCTTATCCAGCTCCGCTTGGACAACCCCATGCCCACAGTCGACATTCGCACCCAAGGCAGCTACATATTTCTCGCGAATGTTCAGCGGGAGAATAGCCTTCAGGTGCGACATGTCTTCGACAGGCGTTGCCAGACCCGACTCAGCTCCCGTAAGGAGCACATCGCAGCCACCGTCGCAAAGGATCAGCACGTCGGGCACCTCATCACCAAATTCCAGCTTCAAGGCCGCCCTGTAGCCCTCTGTGTACTGAGCGATGGTGGCATAGTGGGAGAGAGTATAGATGTGAACACCGGTGGCATTGGCCATCCGTGCCTCTGGAAAGTAAACCTGCTCATTTGGATCATCTGCGAGCCCTCCATTGCCGGGCTCAACAAGCCAGCACTTCTTTGAAATCTGCTGACAGGTCTTGAGGAGCAGGCCATCCTTCGTAAAGGAGAGGCTAAAGAAGGCCACTTGCCGAGCCTTGTCTTTGATCTGCTGGTAGATCACAGAAGTCCCCAGCACATCGCATCCCCCTCCACATCCGGAGAGGACAACTCGCTTTCCAGCGAGACTCTCCATGAAAGACTGCATGGCGCACAAGAGCTGTGCAAGCGCAAGCCTACAGGTGCTGTTGACCCCGACTGGGATTCAGCCTCTATTCTGTCGAGCCCTAAGGCCTTACTTGGCATTAATGGTCAGATGGTAAAAAGTGAAAACCTGCGTAACTTTGAATTTCTGAGTCGTGCAGCATTGGATCTCCTGCTGGACATCCAATTTGCTCCTAATCAAGTCACAGTCCCAAGAGGGTGGTTGCTACGATATGAGTTGCGCCGAAGCTGTGTGTCATCTATGTTCGGCTTGCTGCAAGAAGCTGCAGCACACACGCAATAACAATACTGATGATAGTACTGGTAGTAATGGTAATAATGGTAGTAATATTAGTTAAAATAGTAAGAATAATAGTTGCTTTAAGAGGCAGAAACCTCCTCAGGCTTCTGTGCACAACCCTTGACTCCTCCATCAGCTTCGAACTCCAGCTTTTGTGCCAAGCTTAGAATGAGCCTTCCAAGCTTCAACAGCCCTAGCTTGCTTGCTGAAGGTCTATCAGGAAGAGTGAACCTGCATCATTTAGACGCAGATTCTGTTCTGCCAGGGGTGTGGTGAAGCTCAGCCGGGTACTCAACGCTGAGAATTGTAACACCCTCGATGATAACAACGTTGACCACTCGTTTTCCTCTCGCGTTTTCTCTGCGTAATGCGTCCTGCCGCCTCACGTGACTGACACCGCGGACGCAACAACGTCATGGGGCTATGGAATAAGATTCCAAAGCCTGGACCATAACCCCCAAATCCTGGCTCCTAGGCTCGTAGCTGGTATGCTGTTATTATATTAGAGTAGTTTCCATTTTCTTTTCCATTATCCCTATATAATCCTTACATAAGCCCTATAATATCCCTATATAACCCCTATATCTATATAATCCCTGTAGCTTTCCATTGTCTTTTCCATTCTCCCTACATAACCCCTATAATATCTCTATATTCATTAATCACATGGCTCCGGGACAGCAAGATGCTAAGTCGCCAAGGCGTTGTGGTGCGATCGCGATCCTTTCCTTGACTTCCTAAGCCCCTCACGGCTCGGTGCTTAAGGTATGGACTCCCCGGGGCTCTTTAGTCTGCATGCTTTTTCCGGGGGAAGTGTCAGAATGGATATAGGGATATTATTGGGGTTATGTAAGGATTTTATAGGGATAATGGAAAAGAAAATGGAAACTACTCTAAAATAATACTCCGTGTAATGGGGCTATACCTGCCGAGGACTGGAGCCAAATTGGGCGGCCTCAGGTACTATACTGACAGCACCAGGAGATCTGCAGGCCACTCGCTGAAATTCGACCCTAGTTGCTGAGTGCCCTGGCCCCCAAAAGGTCAACCTTCGTATTGTAATGGGACTATAAGTGCTACAAAAGGTTAAAGATTACCTACCCAGCTGCTAGGAGACAGGATTCTTGGCAAAGGATCTCATCACTATTTCAATGACATTCTTCCAATAGCAAGAGACAGCTTGGAGGCAAGAGAAAGACGGGTTATCAACTTTGCTATTCCACCTCGGAACCTCAGAACGCCTCCATTGACCTCCAAATGCATTCCCCCTTCTGCGTAGCTGCATGGTTTGACCAAGCAGCCACTCTGAAAGTGCATCACACCAAGGAAGATCTATCGGCGTGACCCTATGAATAGTATTCTCCATTTTCTTTTCCATTATCTCTACATAGCCCTATATAACCCTAATATAACCCCATTATCTCTATATAGCCCTATATAACCCCAATATAACCCCAATATCTCTATATAGCCCTATATAACCCATATAACACCCCAGTATCTCTACATAGCCCTATATAACCCTAATATAACCCCAATATACTCCCTATATAACAAGAACAGCATTGCAACCTCGCCCTGGCCCGCTGCGCACAGGATCCTAAAGCTCCAAAGCTCCTATTCTTAGGGGATATATAGGATCACATAGGGGTTGTGGAAAACAAAATGGAAACTACTATTCTAGGGATATATAGGATCATATAGGGATTGTGGAAAATAAAATGGAAACTACTATAGGGCATAACTATAGTATATTGGGGTTATATTGGGGTTAAGGGTTTAGGGTTATATAGGGATTGTGGAATATAAAATGGAAACTACTATTCTAGGGATATCTTGGGCTCCCATCAGCTGGTGTGACACAGGAGCGCGGCCACTATCGCGTGGTCAGAGGGGAAATCCTTGCAGAACTACGGTTCAGTGATTGGGTTCGAGGTTGAGTTCGTCTTGTGCTCAACCCCAGACAGCCCAGCTTCAGCTTGCATGGCATGACCGATGAATTCTGATGAGTTGGTTCAGACTGCAAATACGCGTGCACAGCTAGCCAATGTTTACAGGTTGTGTGGTCTGACGTGGCCAATTTTGGACTTCGAAGAAAAAAGGTTTCGTGGCAACAGGACCGACACGAGGCAGCAAGCATACGTAGGCGACGAAGCATCGACCCGACTGAACAATGCCAAGGCAAAGCTCTACTTGTCTGCCTCATACAATGTAATGATGACAATACTAATAAAAAAACAACAATAGTAGTAGTGCTCAAAATCAGAATAGCAATTATGGGAAGAATAGAAGTAATAGGATAATAGTACTAATAGTAATTATATTCATACTAGAAATAATACAACGAGAATAGTAGTAATAAAAATCATGATACCTACACAACATGAGAGTACTGTGAATGCATGTATCCTAAGCATGTCGGATGGACGAATGCACGTGGCTCTCATACCCCCACGCCCTACACCCACCGCTTTTTCAAAGAAAGATACAAGAAAGCTCTATTCCAGACAAGCGGCAAACGTGGGAAAGTTCACGGAGGCTTCGAAGGCTAGCTGGCCAGTGTTGTCTTTGACAGGGTTTGCGTGGCCAGCCTGTTAGGACACTTATAGTATATCATAGAAGATTATGGTATATATTATTGTATATATTATAGAATATTATACTACATATTATAGTATATATTATAGTATATGTATATATACATATATATGTATGTATACTGAAGGTTATATAGGGATAATGAAAAAGAAAATGGAAACCACCATAGGGTATAACTATAGTATATTGGGGTCATATTGGGGTTAAGGATTTAGGGTTAAAGTTGTAGGGTTTATTCTTATATTGGGATTATTGAAAAGAAAATGGAAACTACTATAGTATGTTGGGGTTATATTGGGATACTGGAAAAGAAAATGGAAACTACTGTAATGGGTTACAGATTGGGCGCCAAAGGGAAAGCATTCACGAAATCAGGCACAATCGGTGTTCAATGTTCCAGGTCATGGATATTTTATCCCGAGGACATTCCTACACCAGTCTGTCTTTGGTACGCAAAAAGGCTAGACTCTCAGATGCAACCCACATGAGCCAGCATGTTCATGGCTTTCGGAAGCTTCGTTGCAGTTTAGAGCCCATCTTGTTCAAGCCCCTGCAATCAGAACCGGGCCTCTCCCCTAACTTACTGGGGGTCAGTCAGGGAAAAGGAAATATAATCTCCATGTAATCCTTACATAACATATTTCCTGATTCCCTACTAACCCCAAGTATATACCCTATTATAATCAATGTAGTAGTTTCCATGTTCTTTTCCATTATCCTTATATAACCCCAACATAATCCCTACTAACCCCCATTGCGTCTATCCTAAACCCTAAACCCTAAATCCCCCATGTAAGCTGAAACCTCAGTCCCCTAGTCGAAGAGCCTCCTCCGGCCGGAGAACCCTGAGCTGATCGCTTCGGAAAGTGATCCTTGGCTGCCCCTTAAAATCTTACATTAGGGTTTAGGGTTTAGGGTTTAGGGTATAGGAGTTATTTGGGGTTCTAATAGGGCATATAGGGCCTAATATGGGGAAATATGGTGGGGTACATAGGGATTGTATAGGGAGATGTAGTCTAAACTCCTAGTATCCCCCTGAATAAACCCTACAGTAGTCTCCTCTGACTATTTTAAGGAGTTTAGACTATAGCTCGCATGTCAGGGTGCCCGGAGAATGACCCACAATTTGGAGAAACCCCGTGGATCAACAAAAGGCTCACTTGGGCGTTGTAGATAATGCCGTCCATGGACTTTGACCAGGATGGCGGGTTTCTGGGCTGTATCTTATGATGAGTGCAGCCGCACGGTGTTTGCATGGGGCATAGGGTAAGGGATTTATGGAGACAGCCAATTGAGAGGCGAAGTGCGTCAATGTATTCTCAAATTCGTTAGGGAGAGAATTTAGTGCTCGGTTTTTTGGTGGGGGAGGAAGAGGAGGGGGTTACAGCAGTAAATGTAGATCAGTCGTTCAACTTCTTGCCGGGGGCTTGATCCAGGAATCCTTGACAATGTGATGAGTGTGGGGGGGGGGGGCAACGAAAACAGTTGAGCGGCCTAGCGGATGCTGAATGCCTAAGCTCCAATTAGAACCGTTTCCGCTTCCTGCCCCGCTGAGGGTAGCATGTCAGAATCCTGGGGCTTGTCAAGCCTTCGGGCATTGGGTGCAAGCGAGAGGCAAGTCTTTCGGGTTTCGATCGCCTGCAGTCTCCAAGTCTGATTCTTCAGATCGAGTCGGGTTGTGTGGTTTGAAAAACAAAGCAGGAGCTTCTGTACTTCACACCCACACTGATGGATTCGACCCAGGACTCGTTCGTGAAGCTACAGCATGGTCTCTGGGAGTATTGCCGGGCACTTCAGAAAAATCTTATGACTGGCTCTGGCACGTTTGCTTAGTTTAGTTAAGGCAGTAGAAGCCAAAGTCTACAGCCAGATAGATGGTCAATCTCAAGTACTAAAACAAAAGCCCGAATGCAAAACCCGGTGCAACCCCCGCAGAAATTGTTTCTACACAAGACCAAGAGGGAGGAAAAAACTCGTGGTGGCTTGCAAACTTACACTGATGGCTTCACACGCAGCGAGCACCATGAGGATCTACTCGGTCTCTCTCTCCTCCAGACCAAGGACCAAGGAACCCGGAAACACTATCTATCCCCATCTTCACAGCA